AAGCTTAAAGAGAGTAAAAATTTGAAATCTAGTTTAGAAACCCTGGGCTTTATAAGCCTAGGCCCATTATATTGATCTTTATATATGCAGTGTACCAGTAATAGGAGAGTAACAGGCATCCCTGTTGTATGAGAATTGAAACTACGCCATATGTACATGCACAACAAAACAAATGATCTGCAATGGATGGAACTTCAAATACAAACCAGTATTCCCAACAGTGCAGTAACTTTCTGAATCCTTAGTGGTAGCTTATTCAATTCAATATCAACAAGTATGCTCCTATTAGCTATGCTTCTCTGAATCTCGTCATATATTCTCTCAACCCTGCAAGTGTGACACTACGTCACTACTGCGAAAGTTGTGGAATTTAAGTTTCTATGTTCAGACCTCAAGTTCATGTTTTTACAATGTTCAATATTAAAGATTCATTATCCTTTTATATTTGAAAATTTGAAACGTGGAACATACATTTATATGCTCTAGCTTTGGAGGAGGGGGGAAGGGGAGAGCTGTTGTCAAATACATATCCTATCAAAGAAGGTACTTTGTCAGTTGTCACATCAGATACGAAAGTTATATACCTGGATATATCTTTTGTAGGTAAAACAAAGTAAAGATCCCGTCTTCATTTCTTTTAAGGAGTTCAGACATACTGTACAGGACAGTCTCAGAGTAATATGGTGTGAACACACTGCAAGCACATAAAAATAGAGTATGCTCCTATTAGCTATGCTTCAAATACAAATCAGTATTCCAAACAGTGCAGTAACTTTCTGAATCCTTAGTGGTAGCTTATTCAATTCAAAGGAAGGTAAAAACTAAAGTGATAAATTGGAAGATAAGGAAGAATATTTCAAGTCTATGTAGTGTGATGTACTCTGTATTAATTACAGAGTAAAAAAACAGAAACAAACATAACATCCCCATCCCTTGGCCCACCCCCGCCCGAAAAAGGTTAAATAAATAAGAAAATTTAAAATATTAAAAATGAAAAGAAACTGAACATGGGGAATCGAAAGGAGCAAAACAAAACCACAAATTCCCTAAATAGGACTTGTTATGTTTTTTCCAAGAGTGGATTTAAATAATTAATTAAATATTTATTCATAATTTCTATTTACCATTTTATCCATTAAATCTCAGATATTTATTCATAATTTCTATTTACCATTTTATCCATTAAATCTCAGATCTGTCGGCGTGATGCATCATCGCTTACTCCGATCACCCCTTTCCAAGGTCAAATAGTGGACAACATAAAAACCATGCGTAGAGTGGCAAAGTAACGCACCTTGCAAGTTCTGAATTTGTCAAAAACAGAAGAAATGCAAGCTCTTTTAAATTTGTTTACAGAAAACAACAAAGATGGGCACCTAGTCAAGTAAAAGAACTCGGAGTAATAACAAAAAATAGTAATAAAAGGACAAACCTTATCTTTCCCATTGATGTCAGCCTTCACAAGTTTCGAGAAGTATTCTTCGTGCACTTTTCCTTCAATCAATGTCTCAACCTCATCAATGAAAGCAACTCGAAGTGCTTCATTTCTACAAAAATGGATTGCAATGAATGAAACTCAGATATTTATGAATGAGAGTTATAACTTATTGATTATTAGTATTCGAATCAGATTATGATCGAAAAATTCAGATGAGACCAGAGCAAATCAGAAACATATACAACTTTAACTTTAATTGGAATTAAATGAGACTAGACTACAAAGATTTCAAACATATCAGACCTTAATATATCAAACTAATGAGATAGGACGAAGAGAACATGCTCTTAGGCTTTCTGTGTAAGGTAAGAGGTTATCATTAATTAATTTCTAAATAAAAGAGATTGCCATTTGATCACCTTTGCATTAGTAATGCAATATCCACAGCCTCAGGCTTTTGATTCTCTTTCTGTTTCCCATATATTTGGCAGGTAACTACATAGGTAAATTTGAGATCTACTTGAGCTCTTGCTTCAAGAGACAACTCAAAACCTTGGGTATCAGTTGCTCTGTGAAATTGCAGCCTCAGAATCTAATGATGCATGTACCAGAGTATTATTAGTAAACAACCACAGTAATGACTAATGAGAAAAAGAACATTAGAACATAATAACTTCATCTCGTATATGATAACCTTGAGCTGCCACACTTTCCAAATATGCTTGAAGCATGAGAGCTTTTCGGTAGTACATCATTCCACCCACTGCAAAACCCAATGAATTGTGTTTGTAAACCAAAATCATAGAGTATAAGAATAAGCACATCTCAAAAACGTTCAAAATATAAGCCATTTATTTTTTTTTACAAATCTCAATCTATTTTCTGAGCTACATTCTCACCCTTTCTCCTTTAAAAGTAACCAAATAAAAATGAGCACATACCATATCGTGTTTCCACTTGGTAAAAAATTGTTTTTCCTAGCAAACCACTTTTTTATTTGTAGTTTATACATTGATTGAGCAAGGAAAATTTAGGGAACAAAAATGGAATGCAAAAATTACTTCATTCATTATTTGTTAACAGAAAGAGTTGAATGCATGCATCCATGCCATTGGAGCTAAAAGAGTTGTTAGTGACAATGTTTTTACTTCAAGTAATAGCAGACTAAAAAATGACACAGTAAACTCTTTTTGGTAATTACTTTCTATGAAGTTTTAGGTAGTAAAAGCAACAATGCATCAAAAGGTCCAATGGAAAGACACGCTCAGTTTTTTGTACATCTTCACCTTCATACCCAAACAGGCTTGGGATTATTATGGGTTTTGATGTAGAAACAGCTGAACGCAGCATAGGTTGTAGGTGACAAAACATTGGTGGCATAAGACGGCAAATATATGAGTGAAACGCGTACCAGTCCTAGCCAATGTTTGCCCTCTGTATGAAGCCCAAAAACGCAATTCAAGAATATCATTGGCATTATTACTAAGATCTGATTCTGATGTGTTTTCATCACGGCCAATCCGAGTAAGGAAGTTTCTCCACTCATCTGCATTCAACATTAAATTCTTTCTCATGAACCATTGACACTACAAAATACTCACAATAATGAACCAACCTGTATAGGAAAAAATAACAAACAAGTCCAGATATAACAATGGCCAATTGAGTATTAAAGGCCACAACATATAGAACCCTAAAGTTAAAATTGTATATTTGGATTCTGATAAGCGTCCAATCAGATTGGTGTATTCAAGAAGGAAAAAGCAGATGGCACAGGGTGGGCCGGCAGAAGTGGAGCAGCTCAAAATGTTAATGGGCATTTCAAACAACCCACTAAATGGCTGAGTGGGTGGTTACGTAGCAGTAACCCATCTCTCCTCGGAGTGGGATTTATTGCTTGAGTCGTGTTATTTTCTAGTGTGATTATTTTTCATTATATTTTCCTTTGAGAGTCTGGAGACTATCCCTTCTCGAATTGGGACTTGATGTACACTTTCTCATTCTAAATTCAATCAATTCGACTCAAGCTTTATCAGATTCCCTTTTAAAAATTATGCTAGGTCCAGGTAGGGGTAATGAAATTTTCAAAAGCTAAGCTCAAAGGAAAGCCTGAAAGGGTCACATGAGCACTCATGATCATTACATGCTTGATCAAAGGAAAGCCGGAAGGGGAATAGTGATGTTTTGAAATCTAATAATAGCTCTCAAAACGCGAATGTATTCAATTCATGGATTGTATTAATTCTACACGGACTTGAATATATTTCAATGTATTTTACTATCGGGATTTGTTTATATTCTAAAAATTCCATAGATAGTTCTAACATCAATAATTGATTACAAAATCTGGTATGTTGGGTTGTACTTTGTACCCCTGTGGATATACCTATGGATCTGAATGTTTAATTCCTTCCGGTATAGAGTTGCTCATAGAGTAGAGAAATACACATTGCCATCGAAAAATTGAATTATCTCACAATCACTTGAGCATATGCACATTTCATTTACAATTAAATAAGCAGTCAACTCCTTAACAAACAATGTAATGATCATTCGCATGCTACTATACGAGTTTTATGTATATCGAAAACACATCAGGGCAAAGATTACTCTATGAAGATAAAGGTCATGGCAATATTGTGGCATACTACGATGATGTTAGGGGCCACATCGGGGTATTATATCTTGATAGATGGGAACTTAATCCTGTGGAAGAGCTGAAACAAGATTCAGTTACCAAATCAAGTGCAGAAGCAGAATACAAAGAAATGGTGGCTCGAGCTGCATGTGAGAGCTTATTGGTTCTCAATGAAACACAAACTCTTCTTCCCAGAAATATTATATGGGAGAAAAGAACCAATTTGGTTAAAGTGAGATTTTCAAGCATCGGTACACATCACATCAAGTACACTAGTACAGTCTGAGATGAGCAGCCACACCCACATTGAAATTGATTGTCAATTTATCCGAGAGAAGATCATAGTCACCCACTACCTCAGTACTCATCAAACAAAATCACTTAGACGTACCATAAAAACTTGCATTTGTAAAAACTTTCAAACAAATTATATATGCTCTAGCATGAGAAGTGTGGAATATTGTTAAGAAATACAGAGTAGGATGTCATCAATGTCATTAAAATAAATTCGCAGCCTATATATCCCTTAATTCTTCTTCAATTGAAAAAACAAGTTTAAGCAAAAGATGCTAGTGCGACACTACGTCACTACTGCGAAAGTTGTGGAATTTAAGTTTCTATGTTCAGACTTCAAGTTCATGTTTTTACAATTTTCAATATTAAAGATTCATTATCCTTTTATATTTGAAAATTTGAAACGTGGAACATACTTTTATATGCTCTAGCTTTGGAGGAGGGGGAAGGGGAGAGCTGTTGTCAAATACATATCCTATCAAAGAAGGTACTTTGTCAGTTGTCACATCAGATAAGAAAGTTATATACCTGGATATATCTTTTGTAGGTAAAACAAAGTAAAGATCCCGTCTTCATTTCTTTTAAGGAGTTCAGACATGATGTACAGGACAGTCTCAGAGTAATATGGTGTGAACACACTGCAAGCACATAAAAATAGAGTCAAATTTTAGTAAATGGTCTAGAATCAAGCCAAAGAAATAGAAGATCATTACTTAAAGGACAGCATCTCACGAACAGGTTTTGCTACTGGCATCTCCATGAAAAGGGAGTTCATGAAGAATTCCAGCCGACGTCTGGCCTCAAGATTCCTTGGCATATTGTGAGCAGAGTCCTTGATGGTGAGAAGTGAATAAAGCCTTCTAACTTGAGCCCTCTAAATGAATTACATGGTCATGTACATAACTAAAAGGTATTAGAAGAGATGAGGTGGTGCCAAGGCAAAAGCCACTATGCAAAACATTGAACAAAAAAGGTGCATTATACTCCATATACAACTATCACACACCAAATCAGCATCTCTCGGCAACTTCAACTTCTGAAATAACCTACCTTCATTCCTAACTTTTAACAAATCATTCCATGTCTCGAGGTGCTTGCTGAAAAAGAAGTCTCAGATATTTAACACAGAACACAGAACGCAGAATGCATAATGAACTGAGTAAAAATGCAAGCTAATTCACAGAAACAATGTACACAACTATACAGTTGAACATCTGATCAAAAAATAGTAGAAAGGAATATAGTATATCCCATTTCTAACATTTTACAAGGTTCCTTAAATAAAGAGTTTATACACTTGGAGTCGGGAATAAGTTACCTCATTTGAAGAGCTTGGCTCGTACGGATAAAAAAAATAAGATTTACACAACTTAACAAAATGGAAAGAATAAGAAATGCTACTTAAGAGTGAAACTTATCTACAATCCCACTCAACCTAGGGATCAGGTTCATAAACACCACAGGGTACAAAGTTTGTACAAATGAGTTACCTCAAAAAGAAGATTTACACAACGTAACAAAATGGAAAGAATAAGAAAAGCTACTTAAGAGTAAAATGTATCTACAATCCCACTCAACCCAGTTATCCGGTCATCAGGTGCATCAACACCATAGGGTACAAAGCTTGTACAAGTGAGGCTGTGTGCATCAGAATTGGTGAAGTTCATCTGCACGTTGATCACCAAATCCGACAAATAACGTGCTAATTTCCTTGGATAAACTGTCTCAAAGATGATTGACTATCCGAAAATAATTTCATGGAGTTAGCTGTATTGTGTCATAACTCTTGATGAAAATAGTACTTTAACTAGATGATTTCACACCAGCTAAGAGCCACAACCTGATACTGTGCTTCAACACTTGATCTGGAAATATTGTCATGCTTTTGTTGGGCGAATTGAGTGTGGAGGCTCGAGCAAGAAGGGCAGCCGGCCCTAGTCTTGGTTCGACCCATATGGCAGTAAATTAGGTTTTTTAATTTAGCCGGCCCTAATTCTCTATGTGGGCTTGGGCCTAACTTGGGGATTAGGTTTTCAACCCTAGTTTAGTGTTCATAAATAGCAATCTCTGTACTTGTAATTCTGTGAACACCTGGATAATAAAAACCCTAGTTGCAAAGTGGATTAGGTCAGCCGACCGAACCACTATAAATCTTGTGTTCCGTTTTTTCTCCGTTTTGATTTCT